ATGAAGATGCCGATGATCTTGAAATGGAGGGTAACGTTGAAGAGTACAAAGGGGAAAATGACGAGAGGAAGTCTGGCTCACTTGAGGATGCAATAACATTGTCAACTGGAATCAACGATCATCGACCTTTGAGTGAACAGAATATGGTTCAAAATTCTACAGAAGTGGTTCGCAAGGAACTCGATGAAAGGATTGTTCTTGAAGTTTCTTCTTGTATGGTCCAACCACTGAGGGTTGTGAAAGGAACCTTTCAGGTATTGATGACCAAGAAATCAAACAGAGCATATATTCTCAAATATATTTCCTTGTAGGAATGACTAGTTTCTAATGGTTGTCTTTTGCCTTTCTCAGATTACTACGCGGAGAATAAATTTTATTGTTGACATCAGAGAAGGCCAACATTTGGATGGCAAGTCAGATGGTTCTGAATCAGGAGACCAAGAAAGAGATCGTAGTTGGCTGATGTCTTCTCTTCATCAGATTTATACCCGACGGTAACATTTCATTATCAATGTTGTCTTTAGCTCATGATTTACTCTGTTTTATATGTGTTTAGAGCCTTAGATGATCAATACCTTAGCTAACATGTATCTTTCACAGATATCTACTGAGAAAGAGTGCTCTGGAACTATTTATGGTTGATCGCTCAAACTTCTTCTTTGACTTTGGGGTATCTGAAAAAGTTTCTCTGTTATCTCTCCTTTTTTTTCTTACCTTGGAAATATCAAGACCGTGTCTCTAACCAATTACTTTTCTGAAATTTTTGATGAACACCATAGAATAATGAGGGACGAATAAATGCGTGTCGGGCTATTGTTCAAGCAAGGCCTCCTCATTTGAACAAAATTTACCTGGCAACTCAGGTTTGTGTTCTTTTCCTCTGTATCTCCATTTTTTAGTGCATGATTGACAAAGCAAAGAAACCAAGCTGAGTAAATTTCCTCTGTGTGCTGCAAAACTTAATGATCGTTTCATTTTTAGAGGCCAGAACAACTATTGAGAAGATCTAAGTTAACGGACCGCTGGGCGAGATGGGAGGTACTGAAAGAATATCCTTCATTCTCATCATGCTAGTTTTCATCATGTGGAGAAGTAACCGTAGCTGGATAATTTGCATCCTTTTTGCAGATCAGCAATTTTGAGTACTTAATGCAGCTCAATACATTGGCTGGGCGTAGTTATAATGACATCACTCAGGTAAATACTGTGTGCTAGTGAGAATACTTTTTGTTATGCGAAATATTTAATACCATCTTCTTTTTTTCGTTACCTCAGATCCATTTTTGTATATCGTTGCAGTATCCTGTTTTCCCATGGATTCTGTGCGACTATATATCAGAAGTTTTGGACCTTTCAAATCCATCTAACTACAGAGATCTTTCCAAGGTGATATTATTTGTTGTTTGGCTCTATGCCTGCATATAATGGACCATAAACTTAGAAAACTGGTTGTAATGTGTGTCTGTATATATGTTCAGCCAATCGGTGCATTGAACCCAGAGCGGCTGAAAAAATTTCAAGAACGATATTCTAGCTTCGAAGATCCAATCATCCCCAAATTCCACTATGATTCACATTACTCAAGTGCTGGAGCAGTAGGTTATCTTCTCTATAATATCTACCATAATAGCCTGCCATTTCTTCTCTTCATTTTTTTCCCGCGTTAAAACTATTTAGCATTTTGATTTGTAAGAAGATAGAGTTTGGACTTATTATTTTTAAATCTATCTGGTAGATGTTGCATTATCTAGCTAGAGTCGAACCTTTTACAAGCCTTTCAATACAACTGCAAGGTGGAAAGTTCGATCGTGCAAACCGCATGTTTTCAGACATTGCAGCCACTTGGAAAGGAGTTCTCCAAGATATGAATAATGTGAAGGAGTTGGTAAGAATTGGTTCTTCCCAAAAGCACCAAATTGAAATATCTTTAATCATCTTCCCCTTCTTTTCAAGTCATGAAGATTGTAGCCATACTCAAAAGCAACTTCATTTTGTTTTGTAGGTTCCAGAGTTGTTTTACCTTCCTGAGATGTTGACCAGTGAGAACTCGATACAGTTGGGAGAAAAGCTTGGTATGAGTTTTTATGTGTTCCCTTCCTTGTCTTATCAAAGTGTTACTCTTGGAAATTAGTAACCATTTTTGTTCTGATATTGTTCTTGACCCATCAGATCCTGTAAAACTTCCTCCTTGGGCAAAAACCCCGATCGATTTTGTACATAAGCAACGAATGGCTCTCGAAAGCGAGCATGTCTCTGCACATTTGCATGAATGGATTGATCTCATTTTCGGGTAAGTTTTCCTCTTGAATTGGCATCTTGTCGACACCTTTTTCTTTTACTCTTCTCTTTTCTAATGATCTTTATTCATGTAGGTATAAGCAACGTGGTAAAGAAGCTATACAGGCAAATAATGTTTTCTTCTACACCACGTACGAGGGGACTGTTAATATCGACAAGATCACAGATCCTGTAAGTTATCTATGTAGTAGTACTATTGGAGTTGCTCAATTTTTATATTACCTTATTTATGTAACTTGCCTGTTTAATATTTGATGAAGGTAAAACAACGGGCTACTCAAGACCAGATAGTTAATTTCGGGCAAACGCCTTCTCAACTATTGACTGTACCTCACGTCAAAAGAATGTCTCTGAAAGATGTCCTTCATATGCAGGTAAAAGCTTATGTAAGAGATTCTGAGTTACATTCTGTGCTAAAATTTGACTATTCAAACTTGACAAACACTTTGAATTCTTGTTCAGACCATCTTTCGGAATCCGAAAGAGATAAAACCGTATCCTGTTCCAGCTCCAGAACACTGCAACTTACCTGCTGCAGCCATCAAGGCATCTTCGGATAGCGTTGTGATTGTTGACATGAATGTGCCTGCAGCACATATTGCACACCACAAATGGCAACCAAACACTCCTGATGGTCAGAATACTCCTTTCATCTTCCATCATGGGAAGCCGACTTCAAATAGCGGAGCATTGGTACGGATGTTCAAGAATGATTGGCAATATCCACAAGCACAGGCATTTGCCTCATCAGGAATCAGAAGTTCGTCTGTCACTGCTATTACTAACGACGGAGAAATTATCACCGGTAAGCAGTTTTAAAGGCTCTGTGAAGGTATCGATAAAAAATTCATCGTCTAATCGAAAATTCATGTATGGTTCATTAGGTGGACATGTGGATAATAGCATCAAGCTAGTCTCATCAGATGGAGCAAAAACATTGGAAACAGCTTTTGGTCACTGTGCTCCTGTAACATGTCTGGCTCTGTCTCCAGACAACAACTTCCTTGTAACGGGTTCACGAGATACAACTGTTTTGCTATGGAGATTTCACAAGAGATTCACTTCTCAGACAAGCGAGCCTGAGCAAACAAAAAGCTCTGAGACACCTTCCTCCGCAAGCGACAACTTGGCGGCCAAAGCCAAAAAGTGTCGCATTAAAGGGCCTATACAAGTGCTCCGTGGCCACCTAAGAGAAGTAGTATGTTGCTCTGTTAGCTCGGATCAAGGAATCGTTGTTTCTTCCTCTGAGTCATCAGATGTTTTATTACATTCCATAAGAAAAGGTCGACTAATAAGACGGCTTGTTGGCGTCAAGGCTCATGCTCTCTGCGTTTCTTCTGATGGAGTTATAGGGGTCTGGAGTAAATCGGAAAATTCTATCAGCGCGTTCACCATTAACGGAGTTCTCATTTCCAAAGCGAAACTTCCTTCCTCTTGTACCATAAGCTGCATGGAACTATCCATGGATGGACAAAATGTTGCGATTGGCGTGAACTCATTTTCCGACATTGATGGATCGAGGAGTTTTAATAACCCTACTGATGATGAAGATTCATCAAGTGGAGCCAATAAAATTGACAGACTAAATATCTCATCTCCTTCAATTTGCTTCCTCAAATTATACACACTCCAGGTATTATCATTTGTATCAATTTATTTATGCGAAACACAAGATGTCGTTGTAGGGTATTTACACGTAACAAATCATAAATTTTTCTTCTTGTGTAGGTATTCCATGTGCTGAAGCTTGGTGAAGGGCAGGATATAACCGCTATGGCTCTGAACACAGACAACACTAACCTCATAGTTTCCACAGAAGATAAACAGTTGATAATCTTCACCAATCCAGCTGTAAGTTTTGTTACCTTGAGCTCTTTACTTAAGCTTCTGCATTAGTTTACTTACTATTTCACTAGTAAGATGGTATATAAATCGGCATCTACTCAAGTTAAAAGAACCCATGATGGTTTTGTATCAGTTGATGATTTTCCCCATAGTTTTATTGGGCAACTTGGGGTTATATATAGTTAGCCAAAGAGCAACCTGAGTTTACGTTCTTTTGTTTCAAAATTGCTTGCAGTTAAGCTCGAAAGTGGTGGATCAGACGCTGAAGCTTGGCTCTGAATGAAGAAATGAAGATGGATTCGTCCATTTCGATAAATCAACAGCAAGTCAAGGAGTATTACCGCGGAAAGTCTCACGCTCAGGAGCCAGAAGTTGCAAGTAGTACCATCAGAGATGCACATAAAAGGTTTTTCTTGGTTCTACACTTCAATGTTGAAACACATTTTTGGAAACAAACACAATAACAAAGTCTTGAGTATTAGTGTTTATTGATTTGGGGAGGTTTAGTTTGAAACTATTGTTTTGTAATCTAATGATTTTAACTTTCCAGATTTTATACAATATTATGTTTGTTGTTTTGTTATCAAATAAATAAGAGTCAATTAATCAAATGACCATAAATGAAAGAAATCCATTTAGACTTTGAAGAAGATACAAGGAAGATGGTATTCGTATAAAAGAGTTCATAAACTTAAGAGTTGATTGAACATTTCCGGCTCGGACCTATCCATTGGGATAGTTCACAAGACACATACAAAATACAACATAGATCGGTGATTTCGATGGGGATCAAGAAGACAACACTCGTGCACAATATTGCATTCGTTTTATAGCCTCCATGCCATTCACAGACATCACTACAAAACATCCTCCATTAAAGGGTATGAAGGTACTTGAGCTACTTCTTGGTCTGTCTTTTTACATATGTAAATAAAATGGGAATCAGGATCCTCCAGAACATAATCATGTGGCAGCATTCCTTCGCTTGTCACAGGTATAGCTTCAAGACACGGTTTCGCTGATGAGCTACAACTTCCCGGCTTTTTAAATCCTGGTCTTGCTGCAAGAACTCAAAAGGATGAAGCAAAGAACACATATATTATTGCAAGAAACAAGTGGAAGCTTACGTATGATGTATAAGGAGATCTTCCAGTTGTACGCAGAACGAGTCAAATGAGGCATTCTCACTTTGGGATCACCATAGGTTATCTACCCAAACCACATAACAAACACACAAGTCAGCGTTTAAGTTTCAACTAACGATGGACTAGAACAGTTCGTTGGGAATGCAAGTGAAAGTATATTACCAAAAAGTAGGTCCCTCCAGGTTTAATCAGCCTGCAACATATGAAAGACTTAAGAGTATTGTTTTCGATTCAGAAGAAGAGGGAATAATAGCATATGGTCAATGTTAAAAAGTGAATCTAATAATGGCATGATCTAATATGATGATCCAGGAGCAGCCATGATATATTAGTGACCTGCTAACTTCACCCAACATTCTCGGAGCACTTAGAGGAGCATCATTGCCACACTGGAAGCATACACCGCACCACACACAAAACAAGAAAACTTAAAAAAAACTCATGGAGACAGACATGAAATACCGCAAAACAAACGATGAAGAAGAAGATTCAAGATACACTCCGTACCATCAATGAATCAAGCGTTCCTGAAAACAAAAACACAAAATATCACCTCTAAACAAAACAAAAAAACACAACAGGGGAACAAAAAGTAAAGTGCTTGGCCACAAAATACCTTTATCAATGACAGTATCAAAGGATTCGTCCTCAAAGTAACTCATATCCCTAACATCCATTTGCATATCTATTGAGTAACCAAAAAAGTGACACTAATAAAGCTTCTTACTTTACACATATCCAAAAGTCAAGTAACTGAAATTAAAGATGTAAAAAACAAAAAAGTGTTACATTTGAGCTGAGGAACAGAGGTATATTTGGTCTGCATCATCTCAATAGCCACTGAAGAAATATCAACATTCATAATGTCCTCGTATCCATCCTTAACCATATCCTCTGACATTACTGCACCAAAGTCAAATTCTTTAAACTGGTACTAGTAAATTGGAATGCTCTAAAGTCAAATTCAATCAATGGTAAGAGTTCTTCAGCAGAAATTTCGAAGAAGAAGAGATATTTACGGGAATTGCCACAGCCAACCATGAGTACTCGTGAAGAAGTAGGGACGAAGTTGCGAACGAAAGGACGAAGAGAAGAGTAACGTTGGTACCAGTCGAAAGAGAGTGCGTCTTGCACGTAACGAGCGTCCCAATAGAGAGCATCGCCATAGTTGTAAGTGTTTAAGCTCGACACG